CTGGGAGAAAGGGGCTTGAACACATGATGAATTTGAAATATCTGAAGAAACAAAATCTAAAGCTTCTATATCACAATAACTTAAAACAATAAATATTGAAGAAGCAACAACATTTTGTCTTGCCCAATTGTGAAAATTATCGTTTCCATAAAATTCTCTAAAAAATATAAACATGGTGATGAAAAAATTGACACAAATTGCAATCAATATTATAAGAAGACTATTATTTATCAAAAATAAAAATTTAGAGAAAATTTAGAGTTAGATGATGTTCTTTTGATCGATTAAAAAAAATGAATCAATTCAAGTTGAAAAATTACCTTGGAAGAAATAGAACTGGTACATCATTACTTCGAGTGAAAAGAAAGAAGATATCAAGAACAAAATCAGACATTATTAAAACAAATTTGAAAAGTTCCATGCTTCTTCCCTTTTATCCAAACAATTAAAATTTGTTAACAAAATATTATTTTAAAAAAAGTTCAACAGGAACATCTGAAATATCTGAAATATCTGAAACATCAGAAATATCAGAAATATCAGAAATATCAGAAATATTAGGATTTTATAATTACCTCTGGATGAGTATGATTCGCCAAGAAGATTATAACAAATAAAACAAATATAATACATATTACACCCGCAATTTCAAATCGATATCTCTCCCATATACTCACTATTACAATTAAAAAAAAAAATTTTTTTGTCAAGAATAAAATAACTATAATTTTGAATGCAAAAAGTAAAAAAAAAATCATTTATAATCTTACTCAGTTCCATCACACCGAATTCCGAATCCAAAGAAGCAGTACTGTTATAAAACATAAGACTCGTGATACTTTTATTGGTAACTAAGGCACTTAAACTTGCAAACATTTCTCGTGTACTAATTTCATTTGAATCTTGAGCAGCAACAAGTGTCACACGAAATAGAATTGGCCATGGTTCTCTTGCACTACCATCATTTTGATATCGTTTTTGCATAGATAATCTTGTGGTATTTACAGATATTGCATTTGCAAAGGAAGTAATCATTTCATCATAGAATGCCAATTTTGCAGTCTCGTTCAATCTTTCGAAATAAATAGTAGCAGCACTCGTTAGACGGATGGCTACATCAATATTTTCTAAAAAAAAAAAAAAACACACACACACACGCACATATATACATATATCAATAATCTTATCATTCTTTTTTAAATAATTATAAATAATTATAAAAGGTAAGAAATTACAAACCTTGGAAAATACT